CACATGGATGGCTCACAATAGCCTATGGCTCTAAGCCCGCTGACTCTGATACCCTCTTCTTGTTTCCATGGGTACCAGCACGTTCAAGCATGCTCATACACAAATATACACGCACACATTCAAATGAATAAACACTAAAACTAAATCATTTTAAAGGAGCTAGGCATGACCGTCTGCACCTGTAACCCCAGGACAGGCGGCAGGGGGTGTGGAGACTCAGGCATGACTGAGGTTGCTGGACAGCCTACATGGCAAACAGTGAGTCCCGAGGTCAGAGAAAGAGAGACTCTGTCTGGGGGGCGGGGGGGGGGAAGGGTGGGTATAGGGTGGAGAGTGATAGCGGAAGACACCTGAAGTCTAACTCTGGCCTCCACACAGGTACACATGGGTGCAAGCACCTATACACGCACAGGTGCGTGCACACTTGCACACACACACATGCACCACACACAGCAAACATGTGCTCTGCACACACACACACACACACACACACACACAAAGACAAAATGTTTTAAAATTTTAGAGGCTTTTCTCCTCTTTCTACATTAGTCTGATATTCTGTTTGCTACCTGCTATACTCATTAGGAGGAATTCAGTTCAAAGCCCAAAGTGGTTTAATTATCTAGCCTGCCTGTTAAGAGTGATTAGTTTAGGACATCTTTTTAAACGTAATTCATCCTTTTATCATGAGTGTGTACTCTTCGAGAATGACTACTAATTAGGTCACAGTCACTCAGTGTCCTGGCTGATGGAGTGAAGAGGAAGTTCAGAATTGTTGCTGCAAAACATGGCAGTTCCAAACTCTCGGGAGGCTCTCTCTGCTGCAGATCCAACAGCCCTCGCTATATGGGGAATTTTTCATTTAATATTTACTTATTTTTAGATTGTTTTCATACAATAGATATTGTTCATGCTCTTCCTCTGCTGCAGCACCGCAAAGGTCCTCCCTACCTCCCTATCTATCCAACTTCATTCTCTTCTCTTTTTTATTCTCTCTCTTTCAAAAACCCCCCACCAAGAATGAACATCAAACAAATAAAAACTAATACAACAAAAATTATCAAAAAGAAACAAAAAGCACACACAGAAACACATGCAGTCCATTTGTCTTGTCACCTGCTCCTGAGCATGAAACCTGCCTGAGTGTGACTGATTTCCCCAGGCCAGGCCATTGGAGAACGCTGATTTCCCCTTCCCTGGCAGGTATCAATTGCACATAGCTTCTTGGTTAGGGTGGGACTGTGTCTGCTTCCCCTTCCTAGGGCTGAGATTTCATCTGGCTGGAACCTGTGCAGGTCTGATGCAGGCATCATTGTCTCTGTGAATTCATATGTGGATCAGTCCTGCTGTGTCTGGAAGACGCTGTTTCCTTGGAGTCACCCACCAGCTCTGGGCCTTGTGATTTTCCACCTCCTCTCCTGGATAGATCCCTAAGCCTTGAGGGGAGGGGTCGATAAAGACATTCTGTTTATGCTGAGCGCTCCAAAGACTCTCACTCTCTGCACATTGTCCGCTTGTGGGTTTCTGTGTTAACTGCAACTTTCTGCGAGAAGTTTCTCTGATGTGGGTTAAGTGATGCTGTAATCTGCATCCTAGCCTAGCGTGGCAGCTGTTGGTCCCTAGGACAGAACAGCTCTGTGGGTCAGCGAGAGTCACAGATGACTGGAGATGTCCTCGAAGGACGGTCTGAAAGGGGCAGTGAAGAGAAACTAGGGGGGCCCTGGGGCCAAGCCAAGAGGCCAAGCCCTGAGGGGATGGATGGAGGTGGGCTGGAAGGAGGCTATGGGGATTTTGAAACAACCCAGGCTGCCTTCCATCCTGTGGCTAAGATTTGCTTGTGCAGCACACTATCCCTGCTCATTTGGGTATTTATTCATTTATTTTTATATGCAGGCTTTTCCTTTGGGATTGTAAAGTAGTCAACGTTGGGTAAAATGAAAATTAAATCAATTTCCCTGAGTTTTTTTGTTTCCACAGCATTGAGTTTCCTTAACCTAGCAGAAAGGACTAAACATTTTGGCCTGGTTTGAGATCTCCAGACCCAGGAGGCAGAATGGCACATTTCCAACCTTGTGACAGGTTTTCCTTTGCCAGGAGAGCCTTGACACTCTTGGAAACGGATGTATTGCTTGTCACTACTACTCACTTCTTCCTCTTCTTTATTTTATTTTTGGTTTTTCGAGAAAGCGTTTCTCTGTGGCTTTGGAGTCTGTCCTGGAACTAGCTCTTGTAGACCAGGCTGGCCTCGAACTCATGGAGATCCGCCTGTCTCTGCCTCCCAAGTGCTGGGATTAAAGGTGTGTGTCACCACCGCCTGGCTCTTCCTTTTCTTTATTTGCTGATCTTTTTATCTACATGTAAGCTCTTCTACACAAGGATTCCTCTGAGACATGACATCTTACCTACCACAGAGGTTCAGAAATACAGGACACTGTACAGCAGGAAGGGGGTACTGGTTATTGAGAGTTCACGTTGCATGTTGTCTAAGAGCATGAGCCCTGCAAGTCAGACAAACCATGGATCTAGTCTGAGACCCAGTTTCCTCTTCTGTGCCAGGGGTATAATGATGGGAAACCATGAACATTAGCTATATAGCCCACATAAATCGAGCAGAATAGGACTTGGTCTGTACTGTGCAGTCGAGAAAGGCTGGCTACTTTTCATGAAAAGTGAAGAGGCTCAGGAAGAGACCAGAGAGTCCTTAGTCTGTATTCTAAAGTCTTAGAATTATTTCCTATGTGAGCATTTTTACATGTTTTAAAAATAACAGGTATTTCTCAAAGAAAAGTATACACACACATGAAAACACATGTACATATTCGCACACATAAAGATGAACAATCTATTATTCTAGGTAGTTCACTGACCTGACCTTCTGAAGCTTAAAGTTATGCTACATGGCTAAAAATGTGTTGTGTTCTTTCAAGATAAGTAGGGAAACTTCTGGCCTATTTCCTCGTAACTGTAAAAGTGTCCCTGCCCAACTCTTACAAGAAACCTATTCATTGTTATCTTGGATAAAGAGCCTAGCATGTCTCGGGTTTGAGAGGAAGAAAATGTCTCTTAAACTAAGAAAGTTCTATGATGCTCTTGGCCTCTTGACAGGGGTGGAAGGTTGAAAACTGAAAACTTAGGCTGATTTTTCTAAAGCCAGGCTCTCATTTGCTTGTTTATTTATTGTGTGCAGATGTGGGAGGTAACGTGTGTGTGTGGTATGTGTGGGGATGTGTGTGTAGCTGTGTGTTGGAATGCATATGGCATGCACATGTGTGTATGCCTGTGGAGGCCCGAGGTTGATGTGGGGAGTTCTTCTCTGTTACTCTTCCACCTTCTTCATCGAGACAGGGTCTCAGTCAAACTCAGAGCTCACTGACACGGCAAGTCTTGCTAGCCAGCTTGCTTTGGGGACCCTTTGTCTCTGGTTCCCGAATCACTAGCTGCCATGTCTATCTGGCATGCACATGGCTTCTGGGCTTTGAACTTCCGTCTTCCCAGTTGTGTGGAGAGTCCTTTCTCAGGTTACGTCACCTCAGTTTTTGAGACAGGGTCTCTCATTGAATCTTAAGCGCATCTTTTCTGTTAGGCTGGCCAGCCACTGACCTCCGGGGCTGAGGTCACAGGCATTTGTAGCCGAGCTTGATTTTAACACAGGTGTTTGAGGATCCAAACTGAGGTCCTCTTGTTTGAGAGCAGACCCTCTCACCCACCGAGTCATTTCCCTAGCTCAGAAATATTTCTTACAAAAGAAAAAAGCCTCTGTTAAAGGAGTTTAGCAGTTTAAAAGCAAAGATGTGACATCCAAGGATGTGGTCAGAGTATCCAGAGTTTTGTAAAGCAAAAACCTCAAGCTGTTCAGTGAAAAAGAAACAAATGATTGGTAACCATCTCTGAAGAAAAAGGACGAGCGGACTGGGGACACAGCTCAGCGGCAGAGTGCTTGCTGAATGAGTACGAGACCCTGGGTTTACTGCTCAGCACTTGAAAAAAAGAGATGAACATCTATCAACACAACAGTAGATTTTAATCAAGAAAGATCATCACGGATTCAAATTACCTGTTCTAAATTGGACCATTTCAAAAGCCCATTTTAGGTGCTTAATCCAAACAAATCTCAAGAGGGAAAAATGTTGCCTTCAAATCAGCATGATATATTAAAAAAAAAAATCAAATGTCCCGTTCAAATCACCACCTTTCAAATTGTAAGTTTCTCTAGAATTTGAATTATTATTCTTGTTATAGAAAAATTAATTTTTAATTGAAGAAATATTTAAAAGAATGGGAAAGAAGTATCTTTTTCACGAAACTGCATGAATACACGACGATTCTTTGACATTGTGGGGCAGAGAAAGGAGCAGTGTGCGCCTCCACCTCAAACGTGGAACTGTTCACATGAGCTCCTGGGTGCACCTCCAGGCTCAGGATGGCTCCATCTTGAGGGCAGGCACTGGATAGAGCCTCCATCTGGAGAAACCTGAGGGGACTGAGGAGCATTTGCAGTCTGGACACCTCACTGAGCACATGGAACCGGCTCTCACTGCCGGGCTTCTCATTGTTTCTATGGCTCACGGAGGAGTTATGAAACCAGGAACAGATCCACATTCTCAAAACTGTTACAGATTAAAGCAGCCAGTGTCCACACACTAATGTACTGCTACAGCTCTTACCATGCTTCTTCTAGGAAAGGGAAGGAATTAAGACCATTTACAACCTCCCCCGAATTTCAGGTCAGTAATACACTGTTTGCAGAACAGAACAGTTAGAATCACGGTCACTCTCACATGTTCCAAGAAGCTTACTTTGCAAAAGAGGAAAACAAATAAGTAACCACCACCTCCCCTGCCACTAACACCCTCCCTTCCCCAACATAAAATGAAAGTAAAACAAAACATTGCAGGGCATCTTGAAAGTCTCCAAACGTGGCAAACCGGAACACTCTGGGGTGCTGTAACCCTGGCTTTCTGGGGTAAGCTTGCATCCACCCCTGCCCACCAGACACTTACATCATATCCACTGTTCCGGATGCCACGCCGGGGTCGCTCCCGTGTGACCAGAAGGTCCATCTCGGTTTCTCCTGGACTTGGGCTGTTCAGAGACTGCCGGCTTCGGTAGACAGAGTTCTTCATCTGTTGCCTGAAGGAAATCCAGTAACTGTTATGATGCAGCAAATGTCCCAACAGATGGAATTCTCCACCGATCCAAACCTACAGGCAACCGGTGGAGGCTGTGGATTGCTCTCACAATCTCAGAACTGATGGTACCCAGTCTGTGGCTGTCCCAGGAAGGGGAGAACGAGGCCCCCACCCCCACCCCACCCCCGACGCTCAAGATGCTATAACTATTTGGCTGAATTATGTGTTCTTTCATATCAAATTAGGCAATGACAATCAATCGGACCAGTGCAACCTCATCTAAAATTCTGCTGATGGCAAGGCCAGGGGTTCTCTGTTGACCTTCGAGGACAGCTAGCATTGCACAACAAACTTGCCTTTGCTGACTTTGTTGACTCAGCAGCCTCTTGTTCCATTTTTATCTTTTAGATTTCAGGCGTGGACTCCTATAATGTGTTATAAATGAAGCCTGTACAGAATGGTCCGCTTTTAATGCTATGATTGTTGATCAATTTCTTTTCTATAATTACCATGTAGATTCTCTCCTTGGCGAAGAAAATAAGTCTAGAGGCAACTTGGGTCATATTCAGCTAGCGAGAAAACCAGTCATCAATTTTTTTAATTAAAAAAATTATTTTTTACCAAGTGCCTAGTATGTGCTAAATACCTGGAAACTGAGCATCTATGATCCTGATACTTCTGTTTATATTCCAATGGGGGAGACAACTGGCATGCTAACTTCAGAGTGATTAGTGTTATAAATAAAAATAAAGAGGGTTTGAGAGGTGGCTTACTCAGTAAAGTGTTTGTCTTGCAAATATGAGGACCTGTGTCCAAGTCCCAGAATATTCAATAATAATAATGATAATAAACCAGGTGTGGTAGAGAATACTTGTAATCCCAGCATTGGGGAGGAAGAGCCAGGAGGATCCCTGGGGTTCCCTGGTTAGTCAGGCTAGCCTACGTGACAAGTTCCAAGACAATGAGAGACCTTGTCTCAACAGTGGGTGAAGATAGAAGGATGATACCAAAGGCACACACACACACACACACACACACACACACGCACGAACACACGGACACACACACTCGTGCAAATGAAAAAAAAAGAAGCTGAGGCAGAGGGTAGCTAGGAAGGTCAGAGAAGGTCTCTTCAAGGAGGTGACCTTCTCTGAGTTCTAAATAGATCCAGCCCCTGAAGTGAGCACAGAGCTCTCTAGGCTCAGGTAGCAGGAGCTCCTTCAAGGTGTCAACTCAGTTGCCCATTGCATCTCTCAGAAGCCACAAGGTTACTGCCTTGTGTTGGCACCATAGATGCGTGACCCATGAGGGTTTGAATGTAGATGGTTTGTTTTTAAGGTGATGTATGAAAGTCAACAGAGGTAAATAAAGAGTTGACTCATAGGGTGCCTGGGGCTCAGACGCACCGGGAAAGGGTGGGGGATGGTGTCTTAATTATTACTGTTCAATGGCAAGAGATGCCTGGCATTGAAAAGACAGTTTATTCCATCCGCAGAGCTCAGAGGAAGATCCAGGCCTTGAGGGGGACAAGGGCGGGACACACAGGGACCAGGCAGGTCAGAAAGCAGAGAGAGAGACTGTAAGCAAAAGCCTTTAAATTGTGGCTTCTGAGAGATGCAATGGGCAAGGCATGGAAGCAGCTGCTGGGTGGTTATGGAGACTCCAGAAGCACAAGGGTGGTCTTCGTTTGTCAAGTGCTTGGTTCTTGGTTCTTGACTGGGGAGGGTGGATCCTGGCCTAGCACGAGAGCCTGGGGAGTCATTTAAAGGAGATGGTTGAGGTGTGAGGTGGTTGAGGTGTGGGTTTCCGACTGGAAGACACACTTGCAGGTGCCTTTTGTCACCAGGCACTGGGCAATCCTAGGTGAGGTGATTCCTCCCCTGCTCCCTGTATAAGCATCAAGCACAGAAACCAGAAACTACGGCTAGTACCACAGTGTTACTGACACCCCAGAATCCCTTGCCAGGGCACTGACCTCTTGGTTCTACTCTGGTATCGGCTGAGGATACACCACAGAACATTAGTTACACAGCATTTTTGGCTTCTGAAAGAAATCTCAGAAGAAGCGGTTACAAAGGCTGCAGACAGCCAGCATAAAGGTGGCCGAGCACATAAATCCGGCCACAGACAGCACGTGCCTCAGACAGGCTGTCCGCTTTATGTCTCCACAAGAGAGCATAATGTAAAATTTTAACTAACTGTAGGGAAAAAAGGACTTTGAAAAATATTTTGAAAGATTTAGTAATCAGTTAACATTAGAATCTCAATTTTGCTTCTTTTTGCCATTTCTTTGCTCTGAAGTTAATGATGCCCCTGAACACCAGACAATGATTGCTTCGCGGTGCCCTGTTCTAGCGGGGTGGCTCACGGCGAAGTCTCTGAGGGTTGTGCTGTGAGTAGCAATTAGCAGGCATCTCCAACCTGTGACAACGGATGAACAGTGCGCGGCCATCTGGAGCCACACCCCCGAGCCACAGCTCTAAGCTCTGTGCTTTTCTGTTAGGCTGCTCTGCCAGCTCATATCTTTCCGCTCTCTCTCTCCTGCCTCTCCCAAGCCCCTCTAGCTCATGGCTGTCTTGTTTCCCTAAGTAGTGAACACTTGAATGATTTTTCAGACCATTCCTAGTGCTATAGAGACAATGAATCATTTCTTCAATGGACACCCGCTGAGAGATAACTACACACACACACACACACACACACACACACACACACACAGAGTAGCAGCAGCAGCAGTGACAGTCCGTCATGGAACCTTAGGCAGCCGGCCTGAATTTATGTTGAAGAGTCTAGAAACAGCTCCCAGGGAAAAGCTTTGGAAAAAAAATTCTTTGAAAGTGTTGTTTGTCTCTCCAGTGACTCTCAAGCAAGAAAGCCATGAAGAAGAGCCCCCACCTTGGTCCACCAGAGAGCCCTGAAGCAGAGTCCTCAAAAGCAAAGTGCAAAATAAAGTTGCTACCAGCCTCCTTGCCACGTCCATGTTTTCTTTCCCTCCTCCCACAGCTATCGACATGGTGACATGTGCATCGTGAACCCTGTCAAGCTGTGATTTTATGTCCTCGGTTTGTCATACCAGTCAGCCAAGCCTGACAAATGGGGCCCTGGCTTAGATCGCCCCCCTTTTCTCTTTACTGAACATCCATTATGTTGGTTCAGTTTATTCCCAGTTCCCAACTTGGTTTTGTTGCTTTCACCCAATCCTGCTGAAATGGTATTGTGAAATTTCTTTTCCGCTTTTAAAGCAAATACCCATTCAGCCAGGGTCTGTCCTGATGTTTCTGGTGTATGGAGCATGCCGCTGCCGTGGCTTCAGGGTAGCTGGAATGTCAGCGGGCCCAAAGCCAGGGGATCGTCAAGGAGAATGCACCCTGGGAAGAGGCAGTCTCAAATTAGGGAAGTGTTGCAGGCAGGCAAGAAAGGAAGAGAGGTGGGCATGACAAGCTTTGCTACGCTTCCCCTCATTGCCCACTAGGGGAGGTCACTGCCTAGTCGGCCACACAGCTTGGAGACAGCTGTCAGGCTTTGAATGTTTGCCTTTTCTAAAATTCATGTTAAAATTTGGTTGCTCCTGGAAACTCATTCCTATGGTTAACTTTCATAGAGCTGGAAGGTTCTACAGACACTGGGGGAGGGGTCACCATCCGTCTTACCCGGCTGGGAACACTCAAGGTACAATAATGACTGACCTCTTAAGATGTGTGTACTGGCACAGTAGTGGCAAAAATGGTGTGCGAGGAACCAAACACACACACACACATACACACACACAACTCACACACATATACACACACATACACACACATACACACACACATACATACACACACACATACACACATATTAAATTTAAAGCCCATTACATAAGATAGGCCCCAGGTCTGGTGTCTTTAACGGTGCCAAAAAACCTGTGGCTGCCTAGTCCCAGCTCCTATAGGGAGAACCTAGAACTATTATTCTGCTAAATGGACATAGTAATAAATGAATCCCCAAATTCTTTTTAAAAACTATTCTCATTTTATGTGTATGAGTGTTCTGCTGTGTGTGTGTGTGTGTGTGTGTGTTGTCACATTCATGCCTGGTGCCCACAGAGGCCAGAGGGCATTAGAAGCCTTGAATCTGGAGTTACAGATGAAGGTGAACGGTCGCATGAGTACTGTGACCCACACTCAGGTGCCCTGAGAGAGCAGTGAGGGCTCTCGGCTTCTAAGCTCTCTCCATCCTGGGTCCACGAGCTCTTATTTTCAGACTCATGGACTAGCACATCACCCAGACCTCATTAGAGAAGCTTCTCTTCAAAGACCAGCAACTAGTCAGCACGCAGAGAAGAGATTGCGGAGTGCTCATCTCTAAACGGGGCATCTACACCACACCAAGTTCCCTCACTGAGGAAGAGGAGGTGGGAAGATGGTAAGAGCCAGAGGTAGCAGGTATCTGTAGCAAAGCTATGTTTGCTAGACATGACAGTGCAGTCACACACACGAACTCACAAACGCCGTGCCTGCATGCACAAGACCTGTACTGGATCAAGCCAGCCCAAATCCCAGAATGGGAGAGACTCCTGAAGTCCCACCCTGGGTAATGGGAGAGGGAGAGTCACTGCTCTTCAGGGATGCAGGCTACCCATGCTCCCATAGATGGTTCCACACCCACACACATACAGGTTGCACTAAATGGACTTAGAAGATACTATAAAAAAAAAAAAAGAAAGAAAAAAGAGAGCACAGAAGTTCAGAGGAAAAGGGGGGATGGTAATGAGTTGGAGAAAAAGAAATGGATGGTGGTTTGGATCCAATTGTACTATGTGCACGTATGAATAAGAAATAAAATATTTAATTAAAATTTATTGCTGTTTTATGAGTGTTAGGAGGCAGAACCTTTGGCCAATGATAGGGTCACAGAGTCTCATGGGGCACATCAGTGATGTGATTTGAATGAGAATGGTTCTCATAAACTCATACATTTGATTGTTTGGTCCCGGTAGGTAGAACTGTTGGGGAAGGATGAGGGGGGTGTGGCCTTGTTGGAATGGGTGTGGCCTTGTTGGAGGCAGTGTGTTACTAGGAGTGGACTTTGAGGTTTGAAAAGCCCATGCTAGGCCCAGGCTCTCTCTTTTTGTTTGCTTGTTGACAGACCTGATGTAAAGCACCACAGCTACTGTTCCGACACTGTGCCTGCCTGCTTCCTGCCATGATGATCATGGACTAGCTCTTTAAAACTATAAGCAAGTCCCCAGCTACATGCTTCCTTTTAGAAACTCTGCCTTGGTCATGGTGTCTCGTCCCAGCAGAACAGTGATGAACACAAAGGGCACTGTAGAAGAGTGAGTTCAGCCCGCATCTTCTTCCTTGCCCTTCCATCCTCCACCGTGTGCTAACACAGCAGGAACGCCTTTACCAGGCTCTGGCACCTTGGTCTTGAACTTCCTAGCCAGCAGAATTGTTAGAAAATGAACTTCAGCTGATTATAAATGGCCAGATCTCAGGTATTTTTGTTACAGAAGCGAAGAACAGATAGAGAGACAGCAATTCAACCCACTTGGCCTAGCTCGACCTCAGTGGGCCAGGCCCCCGTTAAAGCTACAGCAGCTCACACTGAAAGCCCCTCAGGTTTGTGGTCACACTTTCTGGGTGTTCCTCTTTTCCTTTCCTCAGAGCTTAAGTTCCATCAAGCATCCATCATCCTGACCACTGTCTGATACTCACCGGCTGATGGCAAGTGTCAAATAGCTAAGCAGATCTGAATGAATGAGACGGGCTGGCACGGAGTGCTGGGCCTCAGCGTGATAGGCACTTACTAAAGCTGAAGGGAAAGGTGAGGCATGAAATTTGCCGTCCTGTGCAGGAACCACTCGCACAATCGGACAATGCAACGCCCCTTGACCTGGAATTGCATCACTAGGCAGGCGATAATTGCGTTTCACCCAGCTCTGAAGTAGCCACGGCTTGAAAATACCATTAAGCTAAGGGACAATTGGGGTTGTCTGCCCCAGAATATTTTATAGCAGCTTCAAGACTCATTATTGAGCACATGCATGTGGGGCCCAGATCAAAGGCTTGCAAAGATCAAAGTCCCAAGGTAAGATCAAGGGAGCATGGGTACAATGCCCAAGGTGTCCTCTGCCCTCGTCCCACATGTGACGTGGGGACACAAAGTACACTGCTACCTGTTTTTAGACTCTGCGAAGGGAGGACACACTTCTGGGTCTGGGTCCAAAACGTGCTCCACTTCCTTTGGGGCTTTCTCGTACACCTTCTTCCTTTCTGTCAGGCCCTTGCTTGTTTCCACTGCGGGGAAGTCGTAATACCCCTTCCTCTTAGCTTTCAGGCGCAGTTTGTTCCGGTAGTGTTCGATGTCTGATTTCTGCTTCAGAGCCTTATTCACCTTGGAGGAGAGAGAGAGGGAGAAGGGAGTCTCAGAACCACACCCGAGTCTGCATGGCAATAGACAAGTAGCTTTTTCTCTACGGTCAGCTGACCAAAAAGACCAGAGGTGAAGTAGGGGCGAGCTTTTCTGGAAATTGTGACCTGACGTAAAAGCCCCTCTTCTATCACCCTCATATAAAATGGATCTGGCACCAATCTTACATCCTTGCTTCCCATATCTCGCTGACCCATGAAGTCCTATGCCTGTCCTATACCCTTAGCTAAGAGCCTTCACTGTCTTGGTCCCTACTCTGCCTATACCATGTGGTTCCTCAGTGTGGGAGCCCAGCTGCCTGGCTAGATCTTGGTGCCCTGAGTCCAGCTCTAGTCCTGAATAACCTCTGGTTTCCTCTGTCTGCTTAGTTGGGGCTCTCTGGATGAGTCTCAAAGTGGATTGGGACAGATGTGGCAGGACAGTAGAACAAATGGTCTGTTCTAGGGGCCTTTCCATATGATCCGCTTGCTCAGGAGAGGTAGTTCTGTAAACCCATGACTTTTTTTTTTTTTTAAGAGAGAGAGATTGCTATGAAAATTTGTGTGACCGAATGTCCAACCTTTCCTTTAACATAACCTTTAAAAAAAATTCCCTGTAATTCATAAAAGAGAAACGTGGCCTTGGGTTACCCTTCTCCCTCACTTATGTGTAAATCAGCCATCCCTAAGGGAAGGGAGAAGAATTACATTGCAATCTATGCCAAGCTCTGTGAGACAGCATATTAGGGAGAGGTGCCAGCAAGGCCCATTCCTTTGACTGCCCGAGTGTAGCATGGAGCCACTTCTGAATGAGGGTCCGCATGTGTTCTCCCCATGTGACAGGGAGCTGGGTCTGGAGAGAGGGATCTGCCCAGATTTCAGAGTCTGTTTGTGTGATGTTCTATCATTAGGCTGGGACAAAGAGACCCAGGTATGGTGGCCATAATGAGAGCCTTAACTAGGCAAACAACAGTTAACAGTGCATTAGTGCCAACTCCAGAGGCTTGTGTGTGCATAAGGGGAGGGGACACACTGTGTCTCAGGGAAGATTACAGAGCTAAGGAACAGGAGGGACACATTGTGACCAATTAATTCCTTCTCATTGAAGAAGGAATAATAATAAAACAAAATGTTAGTAATGATAACAAAGAGTTTGTTTACGTGTTAGTCACTAAGCACTTTTTGGATAGCAGCCCATTGTGCGGATGGGGGTGCGAGGTGGGAAGGAAGCTCCTCGCTGCTCATTTGCCTAGACAGAGACAGCGAGTGGACAAGCTGGAACTCCACCTCTGGCAAGACAGCTCTGGAGGCCACTCTGTCTAAGCACAACACTGTTTCTAGTGATGGACTTGAGTATAAGTTAGGAGAGGAAAGAGGTGCTCTCCAAGAGTCAGGGCAACTGAACTCCTGCCATCAATGTGCCCTTGAGCCAGCACCCACCCTTCAGGCTTCCATTTCTGACTGAAAATACAGAAGCTGGGGTAGAAATGTTGCTGATGTGTGCAACGGAAGCTCAGCCCATCACAGCCCAGCCTTTCTGCTCAAAAAAGAGGTCCTTCCTGCAGCACACATACAGGGGCACACAGCACTGCCACGAGTGTCCTGGCCGTGGGGAAGAAGCCCCGGTGCGCATCTGTGATGCCCAGCTGTATAGGGCTGTAGCATGTCCCTTGGAGTGTGATAAGAAAGAAGCTTTAGGCCTTGCAAATCTCCCAGCTGCTTCAGGTGACAATAGCAGGATAGAAATGAAAAGAACAATCAACCCAGGGCTTTAGCATCAGGAAAAGCTGTGTGTATATGCACGTGTGCATACCTGTATAACATAAATATGCACAAGTGACCCATGTGAACATATGTAAAGATTCATATATGTGTGCACACGTGTATGACATAAACATGCACAAGTGACCCATGTGAACATTTGTAAAGATTCGTACATGTGTGCACACGTGTATGACATAAACATGCACAAGTGACCCATGTGAACATTTGTAAAGATTCATACATGTGTGCATACATGCATGACATAAATATGCACAAGTGATCCATGTGAACATATATAAAGATTCATAAACACTTTTTTAGCTCACTGATAATTCTACTGCTGAAGGAAGATAGAGGAATGATGTTTTCAACCCAATTTTCTGTTCTTTGTGCGAGTTAACAGTCTTCTCCCTTACCTATTGATCAACCACCTATTATCTATTATCTCTAATTTTCTTTGATAAAATCTCTCACAGATGTGACAGATGCTTTAAATCTCATCACAGATTCAACCAGATTGGTTGCTCGATGAGCCCCAGGATCCACCTGTCTGTCCCCCAGTGCTAAAATGACGGATCGCACTGGTGTGTCCCACTTTTCAGAGGGTGCTGGTCTCGGGCTTTCATGGCAAGCACCCACCAATTCATCAGCTCCCCAGGAAAGCTGATTGACATTGACACCACCCGGAAAGCAACCATGGGGCTATTTCGAGCTTGCTAATAGAAATCGATGTCATTTCAGAGTCTCTAGTGGCCAGCTCCCTGCCCAAACGACAGTGCGTTCTCATTTCCTCTCAGCTCGCCCTCCTCCTATTACCCCAACAACACGGATTTAATGGGTGCTGCAATGTCCAGGAGTGCAGTATGGAGAGGCTGCAGACTGCGCTCAGGAGGGTGGGGAAGGAGGCCTTCTGATACCTGCTTTTCTAATCGCCAGGTTGGGAAGGTTTGCTCTGAGCTTTTCACTGCAGGTGGAAAATACTATGAACAAACTCACTCTGGATGATCTGTATTTCATATCATTGAGGCCTGGTGCTTGCAGGGGTACAAACACCCCCCCCCCCCACAGCCTGAGGCCGGACACAAGCTGCATGCCACACGCTGAGGGGCCACTGAAATCCCCGTGCTCCAGCTGGACTCTCCACGCAGGTCCCGGGTGCTCACCTCACCATTGAGGGCCGCCGAGGACTCCTGCCCCCTGTCTGCGGCAGGGTGCACTACGGGCAGAGCGGATGGTTTGATGGCTATGAGCTGCACAGATCCAGAGGATGTGTCAAAGGGATCTGCTGGGGCCTTGCCGGCACTGTCGAAGAGACCCGCTCCCTCCTCTTCGTCACTTGCTGTCACTAAAGCAGGCAGAACACATGGGTTTTAGGATGTAGGAAACTGCAGGACTGGATTCCACTCATGGTTCACCTTTACATTTAAGGGCTGGTGTTTTTGATTTCAGTCATTCTGACAGGTGTAAGGTGGTATCTCAGAGTCGTTTTGATTTGCATTTCCCTGATGGCTAAGGATGTTGAACACAACCAATATTAGCTTATGCTGGAGAAAGATGTGAAGCAAGGGGAACACTCATCCATTGCTGGAGGGAATGTAAACTTGTGTGGCCTCTTCGGAAATCAGTATGGCAGTTTCTCAGAAAATCAGGAATCATCCTACCTCAGTATCCAGCAATACCACTCTTGGACATACTCGCAAAGGACGCTCAACCACACTACAAGGATATTTGTTCACTTATGTTTATAGCAGCATTATTTGTAATATCCAGAACCTGGAAACAACCTATGGGCCTCTCAACTGAAGAATGGATAAAGAAAATGTGGCCACATTTACACAATGGAGAACTAGTCAGCAGTAGAAAACAATGACATCTTGAAATTTGCATGCAAAGGGGTGGAACTAGAAGAAACTATCCTGAGTGAGGTAACCCAGACCCAGAAAGATGAGCATAGTATGTACCCACTCATAGGTGAATACTAGCTGTAAAGCAAAGGATAAGGAGACTATAGTCCATGACCCCAAGAAGCTAAGTAACAAGGAGAACCCTGAGAGAAACATACATAGATTCCCCTGGGGATGGGGAAATAGACAAGATCTCCTGAGAAAATTGGGAGGATGGGGGTGGAAGGAGAAGGGAAGGTGGAAGGGGAGGAGAGAAGAGGAGGGGAGGGGGAGGAGAACTAGAGGGAATGGGAGAGTCAAGATGGAGGAAGGACAGAGTCAGAGAACAAGGAAAGAGATATCTTGAGTGAGGAGCTATTATGGGGTTAGAAAGAAACCTGGCTCTAGAGAAATTGTCAGGAATCCACAGGGATGACTCAGCTAAGACCCTAAGCAGTAGAGGAGAGGGTGCCTGAACTGGCCTTGCCCTGTAGTCAGAGTGATGACTATCTTAAATGTCACTAAAGAACCTTCATCTAGCCGCTGATGGAAGCAGAGGCAGAGACCTGCAGTGGAGCACTGGGCTGAGCTCCTAAAGTCCAGCTGAAGAGTGGGAGGAATGAGAATGTGAGCAAAGAGGTCGAGACCATGATGGGAACACCCACGGAAACAGCCAACCTGAGCTAATGGAAGCCTTCCAACTCTGGTCTGACAGTGAGGGAACCAGTATAAGACCAAATTAGGCCCTCTGAATGTGGGTGACAGTTGTAAGGCTGAGGCAGACTGAGGGGCCACTGACAGTGAGACCAGGATTTATCCCTACTGCTTGTTCTGGCTTTTTTTTTTTTTTTTTTTTTTTTTTTTTTTTTTTTTTTTTTT